GAGGTGCATGCCTGGGCATCCTTAGGTCTGGACTGTTTTCACACACTAATGCCACACCTTGTAGAATTCTATCAGTCATATTTTATCTGCACAATCAGAATGAATTTCAGGGACCAAAATGCTTTTTCTGTCCAGCCTGAGAAGAAGCTGTGAACAATATTATAGTTATTGTTGTAACTTGTCTTTGCTTACACCAGCTCACTGCCCTGCTCACAGTTGTGAAGAATACTCTTATGTTACGAATGGCCTGTGTCACCGTTAAGAAAAAGAGGTGGGAACAGGCCAATATATATGTGTCCTGTCCCTGGATCAAGTGACTTCTCTAAGTCCTCAAAGTTCTTAACCTGGCTCAAGGTTGTCATCTGAACTAGCCAAATGTTTAACTGATAATCAATCACAGTCAGTCCATCATTTGAAAAATAAGACTTTAGAGCCGTCTTGCACCAAAATGGCAACTAGACATTCCGATTTGGTTTAAGGCAGTGTTTCCCAACTGGTGTTCCGCGGCACACTAGTGTGCCGCGAGACGTTGCCTGGTGTGCCGCGAGATGTTGCCTGGAGGGAGTCGGGCGAGTTGGGCAGCGAGAGGCGGGGCGGCGGCGGCGAGGAGAGGCCGCCCAGCGTGGGGCTCTCGCCGTCTGCCTGCCTGGCTGCCTGCGTGGCGCTGACGTCACGGGGCTGTAACGTGCCCCACATAGGCACACGCGGGGCGGCGAGCGAGCTCCCTCCCACATCCCATCGCCGCTTGCTTCGGCCGGCCTACTGGGCTGTCGCAGGCGGAAGGCCTGCGCATGCGCGAGGTTTTCGCGCCTTCGGGATTCCCTTCACGCCTTCCTCCTCCCGGGTCCTTGAGAGCGCGGGAAGCGGCAGCGCGAGACCGGCGTTGAGCCTGGTAGGTATTGCGCTTGCCAAGGCAGTCATTTGGGAAATGAAAACTTGCAAAGCAAGCAACCAGTTCAATCTGAAGTACGTGTATGCTTAATATCCTGTATCTGAAACCTGTTCTGCCCCCTCCCCCACACTTGGTGCCATTTTCATCTACACATGCAGCAGAGTAAGTTGACCCAGAATAGTACCAATTCAGATGGCAGATGGGAGAATGACAGTGCTGAATGCTTTCCCATGTAGAACAGTCCCTGCAAATAAAAACCTAGCATATTTGGAAGAGGGATGCTAGCCTAACCATTACCTTCTATGCTGTTACTATTTTTTTATTTATTTTTTACATAAGTAAAAAGTGACCTTTCCCCATCTGGCATGGTGGTGTGCCTCGAGATTTTTTTCATGAAACAAGTGTGCCTTTGCCCAAAAAAGGTTGGGAAACACTGGTTTAAGGAGCCATTTGGCGCATAGCCTATATATTTGAATTTCTAACACTGTTACTCTTTAAATAACTACTATTGCAAGCTACTTTTGTTATTATTTGAATAAAAAAGTGGGGTATAAATATTAGCCTAATACAAAATCAGAAGCAACTGTTGCTCTGTTTCTTTATGTTGCCATGCATTTCAATGTGAATTACACAAGCCCAGAACTGAAGCCTAAAATAAGAAAGATGATATCAGAAATAGTTGTTCATTCCTCTCTTTGCATATCTTTCTAAATTTGCGCTATAGCAGGACTGCCAGGCTACAATCCTCTACCATTCCCTCCAACAGCCTACCTGGACAGGTGAGGAAGCTGAACAGGGGCACCCAAAGGCAGAAGTTGCTACATTTATTCCCTAGGTATGGAAAACTACAGAAGTGTGTCAATTAATAGACCTATCAATTAATGTAATAGCGGGGGGAATAAACTACCTAGCAAGAATCTGTAAGCCTACAAAGAATGCTGAGAGAGAGAGAGAGAGAGAGAGAGAGAGAGAGAGAGAGAAGAGCTGAACTAGACTGTGTAGGTCTATTAATTAAGCCCACATTTGACAGCAATTGAGACACAGATGCCATTTGAAAACAACACACAGCCAAAACAAGCAAACATGGAGGACGTGGTGAGAAAGAGAGTTGGCCTGCTCAAGCCTCCAACACTTATAGTAGGTCTCGGGGGGGGTTGGAAAGGTGCAGGCAGCAAAGTTGTAAAGCTCTTCCTTTGCACCAAAATGATTCCCTCCATCGCCATCACTGTTCCCTCACCAACACAGAGCTAGAACACCAAGTTTGGCAGCCCTATGCACTGCTTCATTATGCACTGCAGCAAGGGAAGGCCTCAGGGGGAAGAGGAAAGGGGTGCCCTTGGTCCCTTCCTCACTGCTGAAATCAACTTAAACAAGGATTACAAGACTCCCATTATAAGCTGCCTGAAAGGCTGAACAGGAGCACACTTCTTAGGGGGTGGGACTACACTGCAACATTTTGCTGCAGATCCCACTTATCTATGGATGAGGTAGTAAAACTGTGACTGAGACTGTATTGCTTTGGACTGCAGTTGAGGGTTCATGTGAAAGAATGCTGATATGCACATCTCTCTCTCTCTCTCTCTGCTATATATGTATGTATGTATTTGATATTCTATGTATCTGATATTAAAGCAATTGCAATATTTGTTGTTTTTTAATGCTGTTGTGATTATTGTGAGCCACTTTGAGCTCAACATTTCTTGTTGGAAAAGCGAAATACATATATTAAATTAACAGCACAGCTTATCTACCCCCACTTTACATATATGCAGGCTGGGAGTAACAGTGGAGGCTGCGGCCATCACTTGTAAAGATCAAAACCTATGTGGGATATGCAGAAAACCCAGTTCTTCTACAAGGTTCTACATGGCCACAGGTGCCATTTGAAGGCCATTCTTAACCTACGAGACCGCCCTTTTGCTGCTGCGTTCACACAGCAGTGATCTGTGGCCGGAAGCAAGTTGCATTGGCACAATAACAATGTACACAACAGGCCAGCACATCTTTCTAAAACCCATTAAACAAGATGCCAGGCTGCATGGAACCCTGCACTGATAAGTGATTTCCATGCACTGAATGCCTTGCATGAATTGCCCCCTAGCCTCCACTTGTGAACTTGCCAAGAATTACACACTGTGTGCTGATTGGGGTCTGTAACACGCACTGTAGACTTGTGAGAAGATATGGTAAGATGTCAATGGGTCAAAAGTGGTATTTGTCATGTCTACGGTATTTATGTTTCATTTCTACTTATTCAATCACTGCATTGTTACAAAAGAATCATTGCCAGGTTTTGTAGTCACATTCTGGCATTTAATAATTCTGGATTAAATTGAGCCATTTAATGTTTTCACAGAAAACTACACTAAAACAAGTAATTTTTGGCTAGTCACCTAGGATCTGCATAGAAGGAACTGTACATATTAGCGGCTAGAAATTCACCTGTTTCTGAACTGTAGCTCATACTTGGTGAATGTTGACATCACCATGTGAAAACTCTTTGTCTTTAATCATGCTTAGTTATATACACGCATGTTCCAATGAAATCATTGCTGCTTGAATGAGAACAACCAGATTTAGCATTGCAGATTGTGACAACAACCTAACAAAAATTGTAAAATCTCGTATTAATACTAGCACATAGGTTTTCTAGACTTTCAGGCTTCCAAAGTTTTCCATGGTAAATCCTCTCAAAGACTTTTCAAACTAGGGGGAACTTTAAAAGCATTTGAAAAGATTTGGTGTGGAAGAACTGAAAAGTAAAACAAAAAACAAAACATACCTCTGGCATGTTCACAAATCCACTGTGCACTAAGAGCACAGCCAGGATAAATAATATGAAAACCTCTGTGGCATCTAAACTTTTTCCTTGAATGCCAAAGAAAACTAGTGTCCCTTTTCTTATCCAACCTACATCTATATTATCAACTTCCATCTTTTATTGTCAGACTCTGTTTTAAAGACAGGTTATCCTGGAGAGACTTAACGTTTGTATGTAAGACACACTTTGATCTGTACCCTGATGAGTGAACATTCTCCTTTGCTGCTAACCCAACTAATGAAGGGATAAAATTAGCTTTTCTCCCCAGCACTCTCTTTACCACAAAAAACTCATGCACTAATCAGCTGTCCTCACTAATCAGTCATCTGGCTAATGACCTTTTGCCTCGAAACACTAACATTTCTGAATGAAGGAGTGTGGGGGGAGGAGTGTGGCAAGACCCTCAGTGGTCCTTTTTAAGGGGTCTTAAGTCTCTCATCTGGTATGAGAAACTGAAAGGTTAAATGGCAAGCACACACCCTGACTAGATGATAAATCTATAATCAAAAGGCACAGACCGACACCTCAAGATGTGCTTCATTAAAACACAGCTAAGTGATTTTCTCCCGCCTCTTTAAAAAACTAGAAACAGATGAAAAATTTGCTTGAAACTCCCCCATACTCTGCCTGTGGAGAAATCTGTTTGCACATCTGCGTCAAAGCGTCACTTGATTTTTTACTTTTTAGTATCAATGCCTGATGAGGAATTCCAAGGCTGAAACTCATTCATGTTCTCTCACTCTCTAGCTATATATTGCATCTGGGAGCGAAGCAGATGATCGCGCCGGCAGCCCTTATTTCAGCTGCTTGTGATACTGCTGATAAAAGATAAGACCACAAAGGATACTTTTCTAATTTTGCAAAATAGTTCATCACCCTGCTCCTTCTCTTAACATTTCTTCCTCCCCAACCCATCACCACACCCAAATTCTACTTCATCTGTAACAAACTGCAACTAGCAGCAACAGTTGGGATGTTCTTCTTTGCAAAGGCTCCTATGTGAGCCTCAGGGAAACGAGTGCTGTAACAGCAGGAGGTATCAAAACTCCATTAATTTCAGTGTGATTTCTGGGGGGCTGTGCTTTTTGTTAACTTTAAGGGCAGGCAGGGGGACAGTTCCTTCTCTTTCTGACTCCCAGCTCCCCGCTCCTGCCAAGTTTCTCAATAAACAGAAGAACATTTTTAAAAGTCTTATTAATGCAATCCTTCTCAAAAGCATGTTGAATGCTATGGAAGGTGACTGTCCTGACTTTGCTTCTTAAAAATCAACTTGAATTAAATACTTACGGTAAGGAGGATCCATATAGCCGTTCCTGGGGTCCATGGCAAAGACTGTCCCGCGGTAAGGTACGGATGGTTCAGGAAGGTGGGGTATAGATCCATGTATCTCCTTCTTGATTAATGAGGCCCTTTCCTCGCTGGATGTCGAAGGCTCCTCGCTGATTTTACTGAGGCCTTGCCCGCCCTGTGGCTGCATTGTGATTGCGTTTCTTCTCTCTCTGTGATAGGTCTGCCCAGGACTTTCATCCTCTAGGGAGGGGAAAAAAGAGAGAGACAGAGGTTTGGGAGGGGGAAGAGAAATTTTAAGCTCAGCTGCTGCAAGCGATCAAAGTTTTTAAAGTTTCCTCTTCCGCCAAGCACGATCTGCGCCACAATATAAGTTCAGAGGACCAGAGACACATGTGTGGTTATGAAAGATGTCCCTGGGTGCAGGTAGAAGGAGGAGGGAGAGGGGAACGCAAGCCACTCAGTGCGAGTGGCAGTTGTGCAGTAGATCATCATCACCCCATTCGCTGATGCATTTACTAGAGGGGCCATTAATCGTGCAGAAATGGACACTGGCTTGCTATTTTCTTTCCTCTGGGACAAGAAGGCTTGGAAGTTTTGGCTGCTTGACCGGGAGGAAAAAAACAATTTGTCACGAATCGCAAAAAGATGAACTCTGCTAGCAGAAACTAAATCAAGTCTAGCCACCCACTGGTGCTTTGTATTGGCTAGCATGCTCCTTTATGCCTCCACAGATGAACTGCTGATAAGAGAAAAGCTCCTCACCATTAAACGGAGATCTCAGTTATTAAAATTAAGCCACAAAGGGCCCCTAAAAAACCTGGAGCCTCTGGTAATTACACAGAGCATACCTGGGTGCAGAGAAGTACAACAGTCTGAACCAAAAGTTTAAAATGTTATAGATCTGTTGGGTGTACACAACATGAACAGCATAGTCTATCTGAATCATCAAATGCACACATCTATTTGACATTTTAAACTTTTATCTCTGATAACTGCACCCCAAATGCCCTAGAATAGCCCTTGAGGGAATGACAGAATCATGATAAGGAGGAGAAGGAAGGAAAAGTGATTGCCCAGACTTTCAGAGGTGTATGTATTTCAATGGAACTACAAAACTATTTGAGTGGTTGTTTTGATTCTTATGAGTGGTTTAGGATATTTTAATATACAATTATTAGTAGAATGTCAAAATGATTATGTACTTGAAAAAAGGCTCAGTCCAAAGTGCAGTTGTTTCTTTCTCTTAGAAATACATTCATGAGCTATTCTTCAATACAACACATTTACCAATTTACAAAATGTTAAGAAGCAGAAAGAACTGCATTATGATTGTTCACTTAGCCATAAAAACCCACACTACAAAACTCAAGAGGGAGAAAAGAAAGAAATGTGAAGGGGAAGAGATTTATCTGCTGACTTGTACAACAACAGAAATTCCTGAGCACAACACAGACTTCTTAACCATGTCTCTAAGGAATCGGCTGAGGCAGCTGTTTTAGCTCATTCACCTGAATAAGCCAGCAGGATGCACCTTTAAAACACAATGGCCTCTCTCTCACCTGACCTGTTCCTGAAGTGTCCCGTGAGCCAGTCTATGGACAACCAGCCACTCCATATACGAAGAGCGTTCTCTGGGATAAAACCAGGTGCCTGTAGCATCCCAAGAGATGCCACCAGCCCAGTCCACGAAATTCACAACATAAAGGCTCTGAGCTGACATGGGGGTGGGGGCCCTCGGAGGATTCTCTCAGATGAAGACCAATTAGGAAATGGACAAATGAAATGTGCATGTATTTAAATGAAAACAAGAATTGCTTCCATACCTGAGACAAGAAACCTGCCTCTCCACAATGCTTTCCAACCACCCACAGCACATCTCACAGCAAAGCTTAAGGAAATAGGATTAATGCAAGTGGACAGCCATCATTTCTGTAAAACACTGTCCTGACCTGCAAAAGCTGTCTTCTAAAGCATTTCTGATGGTTCTGAATACTTTTTGTATCAACCCCAAGAAATGGAGTTCAAATAATAGTTTTGGATATACACCTAAGATGTTTTAGACACATAACTAAAATGAAAAGTGTGAGCGCAACAAATACATGTGCTGCCACACAGATACACTCAGGGAGCTGTGATAAGCTGCAGCTTCTGGATGAGAGAACAACCTGTGGCAAAGCTGTGTTTAACTCTCTGTCGTGCATGAAATGGCCCCGACTCCCATTTATTTGTTCTGAATGGGTAAAATCAATCAAAGGAGGCCTGTAAATAAATTCAAAGTATGTGTAATAGCCAAAACTTCCAAACAAAAAGTCCTCATATTGGAAGATTAAAGTATGCACACAAGCAAAAATAATGTTTCTGGCATATTGAGGAAACCAAAATGCCTAACGACATTTAGGCATCTCGTGTTTGGGAAAGAAAAAGGAGAGAAAGAAAAGTTGGGGAGAACTATGGGGTAGTTTTGTATCAATTGCACACTTTTACAACAACCTCGCAATCATGCTAAATACACTGCTGAAAAATGAATCAGGAAGTCACTTTTATATAGGCTAATTCTGCATTACTTTAAATATTATAATGTAAAATTCTTAAAATTTATTTCAAATTTGTTCCACGTTGGAGTAGCAACGGAAAGGATCTGTGACAAGCCCATTAAGTATTGCAATGTAGCTTAAGATGCTTGCAAACTTCATATTATAATATAAATTCAAGTTTCTTTTAATTTCCACTAGTTTTGAAGAAGACGGAACTCTGCATTTCACAGCATTTTGGGAAAGCCAGCCCTGGAGAGTAAAGCAAAATCCCATGGTTTCCCCTGCTATTTTGCTTCACTATGCACAGGTATTTGTTGCATATTATTGATTGACATTTTGTAATCTACTATACAGTTAAATTAGTTGTGAACAGTGCAATTGCACTGAAATATCCCAAAACACACTTGGAAACAAAACAGGTAGCCCTAACCCTGGAGACTTTACTTCCAGTTAGAACCTTTTATAATTATTTTCTCTTGCTGCCTACTGCAATCTTTTGAAGGTGCAGTGCAAACCCTATCTGTTAAAAGTATATCCCATTATTGTTCTGCTTCCAGCCACTTTATATAGACACATTTAGGCTGGAACACAAGATAAACAATCTGTGTGTTTAATTTACAAGTGTGAGAAATACTAGGATGTTTAGATATTAGATGTGATTAGGTCCAGTGCTGTTTCCTTAACAATGTAAAACATTGGGTCATAACTTGGCACTGATTTCATCTTGCCTGTAAGGCTGTGATCCTAACACTTCCTTGGGAGTAAAGTCCAGCAGTGGATTTACTGTCAAATTAATCTGCTTACAGATGGAGTGAAATTACACTGTACATTAAATATACCACCACAAAATACAATATGTGAGGGAGTTCAGCTTGTTTTGTTCTGTCCCTTGCAATATATTCAGGTGTTAAGTCACTTCTTAACTGTAATGGTTTTTTAAAAAGATGAGCCCCCTTAATGGGTGACACCTGAAGCCTTTACTATGTTGGTAAAAAAAGAGCAAAATATATTTTATTTTAAAATATATATATGACATTCTGTCAATAATACTTTTCTTTCACACAAGTAACACCACTTACTGGTGATGCACAGACAGCTACCAGCCCAAACCGCCTCTGCTCCCCCTGCACTCCTTTTGTGTAACACAACATTTTTGTATTAATGAGAAATTCCAACGAACAAACCGTTCGTTAAGAGTTTATTTCATGCCCTGCACTGCAAAGTTCCTTTTCAATGAGGGCAGATGAAAAACTTGACAGTACACACACTCCAGAATACAAATAGCCAAGTGGTTTGAAATTGCACTCTCTATACGCTGAAAGGAAAAACTTTCCGTGCAATAATTCTGCATGCTCTTATAACCACGGTAAAACCACTTCAGCAAGCCAAAAGGTGAAAGCTGTCTAATCTTGTTCTATTTCAGCTGAATTGTTCAATAAAATTTAAGAGTCAGTGCAGACAAGCTGCACCAGGCCAAATTATTGACAGAAACAGACAGTCCACCATGGCAACAAGTGGAGGTCTATACCAAAAATGTAAGCAAACAAGCCACTTCTTCGGCAGCATCTGCCAATCGAGACTTGAAGCCAAAAACACAAAACTGTTACTGCTTGCTTTTTCCTGTGTTTAAGATGTTGTGTAGTCTGCCATCAAAAGACAAAAGTCTATTTTGCTTCCCCACCCCCAAAAGAGAAGTTGCAACAGGCCAAATACCACCAGAATGTCAAAGGGCCAGATTCATTTAAGTTACAGGGTGCTTTTTTGTATTTGTAAACGCAGCATTATTTCACATATTTCTTCATGTTTATTCTAGGCTGGGACAAGAGAAATAATACAGCGATAACTTCACTTTTATACCACTTTCCATCATTCCACTTGTACTCCCCCCTCTGTTTCCAGGGATCAATCAAATACCAGGGATGTCCCACAGCATATATATTTGACAGGGACTTTTTTTCTGTACCTGCAAGGCTGGATTAAGAGAAGAGCACATGCAGAGTGTTTTTGCCACATCAACTCCCTTGAACATGAGGCAAGGCTAACATATCAAGTGAGCTAGAAACTTCGCAGTTTGAAGTGTTTGTTCTTTCAAGGAATATATTAAATGTATCATTTGTGTAAATTATATACAGCTGTTCAGACAGACCAAGAATTGGAGCATTTTACCAGCAGAGATATTCATCACCAGAGCTATGCCTGCCCAACCCCCTTGAAACTCTTAATTTTGCTTATCCCACTTACAAGAGAAGGGGAGCAGAGACACGTTTATGCACTAAAGTCGGTTTCTCCACTAAACTTTTCTGCTTCTTTAAAACATCATGGAAAACCCAATTTCAAACAACGAAAACTTCCTCATTTCCCCAAGACACAGATTAAAAAATAGTTCAAGAAGGTGTCTCAAGTTATTTGGCTGGGAGGGGATGCCCCAAAGTTCAAGTCAAATGAACAAGCCATCTACTAAGCCTTAGAGTACATGATAATATATTTATTCACATTATTGCATTGCAGGCACGTAAGGAGGCTGTTTTACCTGTATTTTTAAAAAAACAGAAACAGACAAGGTACTTACAACTCAATCGAAAAGATCTTGGCTTGATCTCTGGAACCTCTCATCTTGACTGAAATTCTCTAGCTACTGGTGTGTGGACATTCCTCTCTCCTCACTTTTTCCCTCTTCTTCTCCCCCCTTTCTCTTTCTCTCCCTCA